AACACCTTCCCCCCACCCCTCCCTTCTTCCCGGGCTCAATTCACTTTGCTCCCAATTTCTCTACCTTCTTTCCCCAGCAGCACAGGGGCAGGAAATGGGGGCTGCAGTCAGTTCACCTCTGCCGCTCTTCCCGGCATGGAAGTCCAGGAACAAGATGTTCCAAAGCAAGCTTCCCATAGAGTCATGGACCTCTTTGGGCTCAGCTCCTGGTTCCAGCATGGGAACATCCATGGGCTGCAGACTCACCCCGACTCTGGCAGTGAGCGACTCTCGGGGTATCAATTCAGTAACAGCTGCCCTCAGGCTCAGGTTTCTGCTCCAGTGTGGAGTCCTCCATGGCCTACAGGTAGGTATCTGCTCCACCATTGAACCTCCATGGGCTGCAGGGAACCTCCTTCTACTCCGTGTCTCTATGTGGTTGAACAGGGTGCCCAAGGTTCTCTGTCCTCCCTCTCCTCCTCCTCCTCCTTCCTCCTGGCAACAAAGCTCTCTGTCTGTCATTTGTTTAGGCTGATGGTCATCTTTTGTAAGGTAAATGGCCTCACATCCAGGCTCAACACACCTATGTCTTTTCAGGACAGTCCTTTCCTCATAAATACAGATTTGCAGAGGTGTTTCTCTAGTGCTAACTGACTCACTTGGGTTAGGGGCTACGCCCTTGGAGTCAGGGTAGCTCCGGAAGCTTATCACAAGGTGGCCCTTCCCCCACTACCAAAAAACAGACCCCTCACACACACACACACACAAATCCAACAAACATCTATGTGACTAAGGAAATTCAGATATATTTCCAAGGTGAAATGGTTAACAGAAGATAAATCTCACTGCAAATGGGTAGAATGCAAAATCTACTTGCCTACCTTGGTTTTTCAATGGGCAGCTCAGAGCAGACAAAACTGCGATACAGCTCCTTCCTTGGCTACTTCACCTTTTATTTATCATGCAATACTTCTCAAGGTTTCCAGCAGTTGCACCTGCTCAAAGTAGTGAAAAGAATCTGATACTCTTCCTCTGATGCTCTTGCATTTCTCCTCAGTTTGGAAAGGTGCTGGACTAAATGGATGCTTTCTCTGAAGACTCTCAGAACAGGGTGGCTACACCAGTTCCCCATCCACGTATCAGTACACAACAGCCAGCACAGCAATACTGGAGTGTACTTTCAGTACAGATTAAAATTAAATTCCCTAATACCTGCTCCAAACTCCAACACACATCCACCGGGAGGGGTAGGAAGAAGAGACACATCAGTTACAATGTATCTGGCATTACATGTACATCAACCCATATTTGTTCATGACTGTATTTAAAAATTGCAACGGAGTAGTATTGATGAGTATTGCTTTCCTGAGGTTTCCTACCAAATCCCAGGTTGGACTGAGAATCCATGTTCATATATCTTTTTTTGCAGAACAAAGACCATTAAACTGTGAACTCAAGAAGAAAATACTATTTTTCTTTAAAAAACACTACAAAATGTTTTTGTGAGTCATCACCACCAGCTGCAAGTTTAAATTCTGTAAAAAAAAAAAAAAAAAAAAAGATAAGAAAAAGGAAAATATGGTAAGTGCTACTTGTGTACAAGAAAATGCACTTCAGGGCATGGGGATTACAGTAATTCAGATGCCAGGAGGTTAAGCATCAATCTGTGTGTATCAGTTGAACCAGATTATTGAAGCACCTGTGGTGTTTGCCCAGATTCGCTTTTCCTTTCAGCAATTTATCAATTGTAGCATTCTAGAACATAAAAGCTTAACAAATTCTGTTTATGCTTCTTTTTCACACTACAGTTCTCATCTATATTTATTTAAATGATGTTCCTCATTTCTCACATTTTCCCTGGGGCTTGAAGAGCAGGTGTTCAGATATAGCTCCAAGTTGTCAAAAATTAAACTGGCAATGATTTTAACAGATACAGGGCTGAGGAAATACAAGAAAGTTGTAATTTTGAATAATTAAACATCACGCAGGATTTATTAGACTAAATCTTCATTACCCAAAGGATATCTTAATTCAGATTTCATCATAAAGAAAATGGGATGGTTGCTCATGGTGGGACTGATACTGGAGACTTGGATTTGAGTTCTTGTGTCTGAAGCATTTCTTTACAAATCTAAGGAAATCACAGTGGCTCTGAACCAAAGACTCTGTAGGAAGTAGAGAAGAAATGATGAACAAAGCACCGTCTATGAAGTCATTAATCTTTTACTTAATAAAGTAAAAAACAATCTAAGAACAGGGCACAAAAATTTCTCGTTAGGAAAAGAGTATGTGCTCTTTTCTGAGTACAAATTGCTAATTTTTAGGATTACAGTCACTGCTGTCTCTAAACTGTCTGTAAGAGCAAAGATGAACTGATAATATACAATGACAAAAAGGAAAAATAAACCTTTTGTCTTGATAATCTTCAGCAATCAAATGTGAATTGCTGAAGTTGTAAAATGGAGTTTCACGTACTGTGGGGTGAAAAAAAATTTAAAACAATCTTCTTTTCTACTCTCTCAATTTTGGGTATCACATCAAACCACGTTACTGCTGTGCACTCTTCAACTTCAGCACGTTATACACAAAACCTTCCAAAATGGACTGGCCGAAATGCGTGTTTCCAAGGGCAGGCAAACAAAACCTGAAACAACTAACTGAAGACTGGGAAAACACTGATGGGTCACCATGTTTTGTGGTAACAGAAACAATGAAGTCTTGACAGAAGAAAAGCAAAAAGTAGACTACTGTCAATTTCTATTTAAGAAAAATAGAAAGAAATATAGATATATTTGTATTGTATGGATTTGCATTATTTTTGCCACAATAGTATTTACATGCAAATATCATATGTTATCTTATTATATTAGACACTCTGCCTAAGAATTTATGATGATTTATTTTATATTTGTCTGACAAGTATCATCACAACTTCCACTATACAACAGACTATGGGCCACTACCGTGCTTGGTATCTGAAGACTAACAAGAAAACCATAATCTCAGGAGGTTGCTATTTTTAAAAGATCAAACATTCAAGACTATGTACTTCCTCATATTTATTTTGCAACTGTATTTTTCTAAAACATATTAAAATAGAAAAGATGTTCATCTGATTCATCATACAAAGAAAATACCAACATCGTAATAAAATACTGAAAATATATGAAAGCACCAAAACATTAAAATATTCATATTGGCAAAGACTAAGAATATAGTTCTTGTAATTTTACAGTAAAGTGCTATTCAATCCATTCAAATTAAGGAATCAGCATTTTAATAGCATGGTTATTATTATCTCAAGGTTACAAATTACTTCATTACCTTTCTCAACATGACAACAACCCATTTTGTTGGAAGCAAAGCATTTGAGTTGCATGCACATGAAAATAACCTAAATAACAGCTTTATAGTAAGCAGTGAACAATGTAAGTTTCCAACTAATTAAGAAAACAAAACACTGAGAAGCAAACTGAACAGGAATGAGATTAGTGTAAAATTAAGAAAACACAGATGTGGTAAACCATTGTATAAATTAAGAAAGGGCAGAAGACTGCACCAAACTGTTGTACAGACTTGCCTTTTACATGCTAATTTTTAAAGTAATCATATTGCTGCTTTATTTGTTAATGAGTTTACTAATGCATCTTTTAAACTGCCTTTTTCTATTTCCTAGAAATGATACTAGAGCTACAGCACACTGGAGAGCTACTGTAAGCAAAAAGACAGAAACAGATTATGACCTTTATTTTTCCTCAATAATCTCTTCTCATCTATTGAAGCCAGCAGACAAAACTAAACGATATGTTACAAAGCCATTTTGTAGCAAAAATTAATTCTGGTAAAGAAATCGTTAATTTTTAGACCTCATCAAGAGTAAAAATTTTAAATGTATGAAAGATACCATCAGTCTCCTTTTAAGTGTTTGTCATTTTAATACACATATTTACAGCAATGAGTACAAAGAATCCTTGCTAGTGTAAGTTCTCATTAGCTTCATACACCATTTTCTATAACAGTTTTGGAGAAATGGTAGATATAACACTTTTATGTTGCCTTCAACAATACTTAATCTTCCTGACTTGACTTGCTCTTTTTATAAATTTACCTGTAATTTAAGCATATTGCACCACTCAGAGTAAGTTCTTACACTGACTATTAATTAGCCTTTTTATGAACCAATAATAGGTCACCAAAAGTCAACTCTCACACTCCTTACACAATTTCACTAAGAGTTGCTTTTTAGAAAAAAACACAACCCAACAAAAACAAACAAACTAAAACAAAAAGGAAAGAATAGGAATAACGTCTCATCATTATTATTTCATTACTATCTTTGGACTCAAAAAAGGCTTTTATTCCTGGTCAATATGGCTGTGTCTACGTTATTTGGTAGGAAATATCTACAATAACTTTGCATTCAGGAAAAGCACAAAACCAAGGAATTTAACGTATGAAAGCAATGAGCATGAATTAGCAAAATAATTACTAACAACAAATGCCTTCCTTTATATGTGCATGTACACAGATTATATAAAAGAATCTGTCTGTACTGTATAATATCTGTATATTTTCCTGAATGAACAAGTTAGCCTTTAGAATACACTTCAGTTGACTGCTTGTACCTTCTGTGAGAGTAATTAGGGATGTAAGAATTAATATGATGAAAAGAAATGAAATATTGTATTTAAAGTATTTGAACAGAGAAAAAAACTTAAATAATTTTAAATTATGTAGTTGTATTTGGTTTCTTCATTCCAGTTCAGCAGTATTTTTGGAGTTGTACAGTGAAAATAGATCCTAATTCTAGGATCTTCCTCATGCACTGTTCTAAGTGTCAACCTTCAGTAATTTCTTTTGCTGGTCATTAATTTCTTCTTTGTTTTTAATCAAATTGTATCATTGTTCATTATTGTGAGCTCACAAACCTTATTTTGGCAGCTCCAGAATCTGAGCAAAGTGCAGCAATCTCTTCCACTCCAACCATGATATGCAGCACATCCGGTGCAAAGCAATTCTTTTCAGCTTCTCTGGGTATATGCCAGGTAGAAGCAGAAGGCAACAACAGTAACTGATAGTAATGATAAAACAACTGACAACTGCTGGAACCAGAGGCAGCGATCAATCTGGTCTTGAAGTCTTTTATTAATTTGCAGTAAGTGAGTTAGCTGAAAATAGAAATAGTTTTATTAAATTAGAATTACTGCACATAAAAGTACTTATTAATTTAGAGCTATTTAGGCAATAACTATAAGCACAATATATAAAAAAAAAGAAACTACTTTTCTTAGAGATTTCTTAGTAATACATTTTCTATCAGTACACACTTCAGGCATCTGTTCCACTAAAGAGGCTTAGAATCTTAACATTTATGATAGCCCATATATCATAAGGTACCACTGAGGCTCATTGATACCCCAGAGATCTGTAATACAGAAAAGAGGAATGAGCAAAATGCATTCAAAGTAGTATTTTATTAAAGCATTACCATTCAACAAAATAATTAAATCACTATCACTGATTTAATTACTTTCAACTGCTGAGCTTTTCAAGTAGTGTAATTTACAAAGTACCAAAGAGGTTTAGTACAAATTCTTTTTATCTCTTCTCTATCATATTTTATAATTTTGTTCACTACTCTGCACAAAGGAATGCAGTATTACCTGTATATGTAAATCTTCATTGGTTTTTGCTGGAATATTAAATGCGTTTTCTTTTAACGTCAGAGAGGAAGGCTTACTACTTTCTATGACATGACACCTAAGCCTGTGAAAGGGGAAAAAGTACATACCAAAAATCATAAGTTTAACGTAACATTGTATAATTAATAGTAAACAGTCCATCTAATGGCTATTATATGCACTTAATAATCTGTTCTGGTTTATTAATTTTCTAAATAATTACTAGAATCACAGAGTTGCTTGGGTTCAAAGGGATCTTTAAAGGTCATCTAGTCCAAACCCTCTGCAATGAGCGGGGACTATTGCAACAATAGTCTGAAAAGGCTTCCTTAGTCCAACAATTACATTTTGACAGCTTTTGATACAGAAAGCAAGATCAAAATTATCTGTGTGCTCAGTTAAAACACACCCTCATCATTTTAAATTCATAGTACAGGATCCACTGGATTATTCAGTAAAATACTTGCTACCAGAGATGCAACAATTTACTGAACAGCAAACAAAAACTAAAGGTTTTCTTTCCATTTAAACCTAAACAACAAGATTTTTCATGTACTCCACCTCTCCCACTGTTGAATATGCAGGAACAGAGTTTCAAGCCAAAATCTACTGTTCATTTGTATCGTCACATCCATTCACATTTTTTCCACTTAATTCTTAACCAGCACAAGAATAAAAACAAGAGCATGTACAGAATACCACAACATTTTATGCATTTAAAACATCTCTAATTGGTTAGAGCACAAGTCTCAGCAATATACTTCAGCCAGTAAGCACACTACTGGGCTTGGAGAATCCTTCACTGATTATGATATGCAAGTGCTATAAATCACCTAAATGGTAATGGCTAAAAAAATCCCCTGTCAACAGAAAACCTTATGTTCACCTGTGTTCCATCACTTTGGTCCTAGGGACTTCTTTCCAAAACTGAGTCAGTTCTGGTACACCTGCTCCAGAAGACTGGTCCATTTCTGCTGCCATTATAAGGAAACGATCCTGCAGAGAAGCTGCAAAACCTGCCCTCAAAGAACAAAAAAAGCAAGTGTGCTTGGATAAAATGACAATATTACAAAGCACATACCAGCATTTTTGAACAAAAGCGTTTTAAAATTACAACTTATTTATTGCAAGACATTGGACACGAACTTACTAGAAATAAAAGTTATTAAATCATTCTCCTCAGATCAACAACTTTGATTACAGTTTTCCCCAAATTCTTACAGTTTCATTTTAACAAAACTAGTTTCATCTGAACAGTTCAAGGACAACCCAAAATTCTGTAAAGTATGTATTCTCCAGCCAATTCACCTGTCCTTGCAACAATTTAGGAAACCCGATTTAACACAGACAAATTCCCAGTGTAACAGAGCACAAGTGAGACAGATACCACTGTGACTTTTTTTTTTTTTTTTTTAAAGACAAGAAACAGACCAGGCTGCAGACGACAGCTGCTTGTGCCTAAGTGGAGTAGTAAATCAGTACAGGCAGTTATTCAAATGCTGCCTGACATCCATGTTTTTTTACAAATAGTAACACTCTCATACAGCAGTTGGGAGACACGGGTGTCAGTCAGTCTTACACCCCAGCAAGCACATACAAACGCTGGCATCTAGAGCAGTCAGTCAGCTTGTTAATAAAACTTGTTCAGACTTCCTAAAAATTCTCTGGTAAGATTTTACTTACCACCATGAAGAGAGACTATTATATCCAACGATGTGCCAGGTTCACAGCTACTGTTACTGGGTTTAACTCTGTATTTTTCAGGAGCAGTTGTTCTCACCTATAAACAAGAAACACCAAGCAAGCATATCATAAATGCATGCACAAACTACGATTGTTTCATAATCTCCCTCATTCTGTAGTAACTATAATTCCCAAAAGCTTAAATATTAAGACACAGTAATACACACAGTCTCTAATACACTTTATTTTCTAGGAGTAAACAGATACTGGTATTTCACTTTTTCTTCTCTCTCAACCACTTCTATCCTTTCTTTCCTGGGATATGATATTTTTCTCTCTCATACACATACACAAAAAGAGCCAAGAACATTAAAGAGATTATCTGTTGAAATCCTTAGTACTGAAGTATGGAAACTTTTGTGCTCTCTGCACACACAAATAACTATAGATGTGGTGGAAAACCAAATCAAGATGCAAGTCAACTTAGTATTTCTGAAGCAAACATAATTGCATTCATTCCTTTGATGGTGACATTTGCAGATGGAACTGCATCATTTTGGAGCATTACCAACTTACTCCTAGACAAGATTTAACAAGGGGAAAAATTCAAAAGAGATCAGTTTTCAATGCTCAAGCCTTTCTTTTTCAGGAAGTATTAGACTCTCACTAAAGAACTAACCATCCCCATAGCTCTTTTTCAGGCAGTATACTGATGATTTATACTACTGATAATTCCCTTTGGAGTGGTACATAATAGGCATAAATTCAGCTAGATTTATTTGATTAACTTCAAATATCACAAGAGAATAAAAAACATATACTGAAAAGTGTGTTTAATAGCATTTCTTCCTCCTTACCCAAAACAAGAAAATCTTATATGCATTTAGTAAACCAGGCCACACATAAAATACTTGCCTTAAAAGCCACTGTGTTTTTAGTGATATTTGTGAGAACTATCAAACATTTTTTCTCTCCAGTTTCTTTGGATCCAAAATACAGCTCTTCTGCTGGGCTAGTAAGAAATTTTAAAATAATTAGTTTATTTGAATTATTTTTATGGCATGTAATAGAAAATAAATGACCACACCTATGGGAAAATAAAATACTTTCTGCTCTACAGCTACAGTCTCTATAAACAGTTTTTCATCAAAAAAAGCTGTGAAAACAAAATGCAGAAATTTTGTAGGGAAGCTCAGGGTTGACTCATGACCACAAGTGGACCTAGCTGCCTCAGCTGATTACTGCCCTTGACTTCCTCCATCCGGAAG